TAATTTTTTTGTTTTTTTTTTATTAGCTATCATTTTTGCTCAAAAAAAAAAGAAAGAAAAGTTAAAGTGTAAATGAATGTGCCAAAAAGAAATTGTCTTTAACTTTTTTTACAATAAGTACAACTTTTAAAAGGTGGTTTTGCTTACTTTTTTTATTTTTTTTGCTTTTTAGCCTATTTTTTTTATTTTTGTCGATTAATACACAAACTTTTTCTACTTTAACAAAATCTTAGATAATAGTTCAAATTATCCATCACTAAATGTTAGCAGTTTAAAATAAAAAAATTACTATTTTATGATTGTTTGTCAGTTGTCGTACAAAATATTGTTTTTCAAACGTCTATCAGCAGTTTTTTTTCAGTAGGGGGCCTTTCTGTTTCTGGTTAAGCGTTTGATTGTTGTTAAGAGTTTAAGACACTTATGACATTTTTTTACTGTGTAATGTAGAGTTATTTTTCAAATACAATGATTTTTGTTTCAAATCTGAAATTTATTACATGATGTTAAAAATTAGCCAAAAATAAGGAACAAAGTGTTTGTCGATGGAAAACGATGTAAATTTGATTGTTTCAATTGTTTAGAAATTAAGATTTCCGGGTGTAGATAGAGTAGTCTTTGAATTTGGCACTGAAGGTTATTTTACATGTTAGTCCGTGAAGAATCGCCAACTTTGTATTAGAAGACGGACACAAGAGAATAAAAGCAAAAAGTAGTTGTTAGATTGCTATCAGTCCAGTGCTTAGCCGTAGATCAAAAAATTGATTGAACTTTTTTTTTGCAGTTTATTGAAGTTATTGATGAGTGATAACAAACCATACATAGCTTACAATATGTGGTCAAAAATTTAGATATTATTTGGTCTTAACTTGACTTTATATATACTGCTTTCTTTTTAGTTCTGTTTGATAAAATTCCACCTGCTTGATTATCTGTTGTTTTAGTTGTTTACCTGGTTACGTTGGGCGGTTCTTCTGTATGGTATCTGGTTTTACTACGACTTTTATGCACCAAAACAGGGCGGCTATAATAAACGTTTGGTGAAATGGTGGAGGACTCAACGGATACACAAGTATTTCAGGGATTATTTCCCGACAGCTTTACATAGAACCGAAGAACTGCCAACCGGAACGGTGCAAAATTTTTGTATTTCTTGTACAACATAAGTCTGTTTTGTTTTTTATTTAGCAATGAACGGTATAAGTGAAGGAAAAGGAGAAACAGTCATTTTATTTACACGTAGAAAAGTTTTTTAAATCAACTGCTGCAGCCAATGGATAAGTTGTTCTTCAAACTCATCACTCTAATTCTTCTGCACAACTGGGAGGTTTCATGAAATTCGTTGCTAGTCATTTTTCGTTTTGGTTTTGTTTTTTGTGGTCAGTGGAAAATATAGCTTTATTTGTGATTGTAGAATTATTTGTTGGTCTGTCATCCGCATGGAATATTACCATTCGGTGTCTACACTACATTTGCTACAGCAGCCAATGGTATTTATGAAAAATTTCCGGGTATAGATATTAGGATTTCTACATTACCGATGCAGTTTTGGGTTGCTGTACGTCGAGAATGGTTGCTTTTTCATGGCGCTGTTGACTGCAGTAAAGAAAGCCTGGAATATTTATTGGACACAAATCGGACAAAGAATAATGCTGTTGTTCTTGTAGTAGGTAAGAGATGCAGTTCACGCAAGAAGATGTTTTTGAATTAACATAAATTGAAGAAGTTTATATAATAGTAATGATTTTAGGTGGTGCTGCTGAAGCTTTAGATTCACGACCTGGATGCCAAATGTTGACGCTAAAAGGTCGGAAAGGTTTTATTCGAATTGCTTTAGAAACTGGCTCACAACTGGTTCCAGTTTATTCGTTCGGTGAAACTGAACTCTATGAACAGGTATTGTCAATCAGCCTCTTTTTCTAGCTCTTATAACTTGGCACAGGAGAATGGTTGAGTCCTCATAATACACGGTTTGTTGGGTGCTTGATGAAACAAGAAACTTTTACGACAGGTTGATAATCCGCGAGGATCAAAGCTGAGAGCTGTTCAAGACTACTTCAAGCGACATGTAGGTTTTTCAACTCCGATATTCAACGGAAGAGGAATTTTCAACTACAATTTTGGTTTACTTCCACGCAGGTTTGTTATTTCCAGGTCTAATAAATAACTTATAGCATTAAGACTTAGTTTAGGGGTATATATCGAGAATAAAAAGCAGTGAAATTTTTTTGAAAATTATATTGAAAAAGTAACTGCTAGTAGTTCTTCCAGTCTTTTCTGAATCTTTTTTTTTTT